TTATTGCATTTTAAATTTTTGGAAGACCACTTAGCAGTCCAGAAGTCCTGATCATAACAACATCTTTTTCCAACTGTAAATTTACCACATTTTAGCCTATCACTGTAGGTTGGGACTTAGAGAGTATATAGATGAATTGTCAAGTATTTGACATTGGACGTACACAAGCACACACAGAAAGTCACAACTCACCCTAAGCAGTTCTCTAAACATTTCAGTTCTGCCCAAACTGAGTTTCTAACTATTTGATTTCTTCTTTGTAACTATTTTACTTAAAGGGCGGCTACAAATAGGACAGAGGTCCCCCTCTTCACAAGGAGCCAAAATGGAGAAGACAAGGGGCAACAGGTACAAGTTGCACTGGGAGAGGTTTCATCTTGTTATAAGGAAGAAATTTTTTACAGTAAGAACAATCATTCACTGGAACAACCTCCCCAGGGATGTGGAGGTTTTCAGGATGTGACTGGACAGGGTACTGGATAATCTCATCTAGGCTCCCTTTGCCACAAAACTTTGGACCAGATGATCATTCAAGGTCCCTTCCAACCTGGGCTGCTCTATGGTTCTGTGATTCTATTTTAACATCCTCAGTGAATACTACCTCATGGATCTATCATCTGACTTATTTGAACTATAAAGATAATGATGTAATTTAATACCTTTTTATGAACTTATTTAGTTGTATTTGTTACTCAACATAAGATCAACAGAATATCTCGTCCTTTACATAGATAAATCCATTTCTGTTCGTAAGTTACTTAGTATGACTGAGCTAAGTTATGTTTCTGAATCAAAGTACTGTACTTAAAATGTTCTTTTAAGCATTCCTACAAACTACAATTACCTCAGAAATGTATCAGAGCTCTGAAAACAAATGGAAAGACCTGATTGTGGGATATTGTATAAGCTATTTTTACAGTATGTCGACATCTTGAGGTCAATAAGTCTCTGTGACTAGCCTCTGTGACTAGGCTGAAATATCCCCAAATGACAGTATGACTATGCTCCCTTTTCCTCCTCTTTTAGTTTTTCAGGTAATAAGAAAAATACATGAGTGAGCACACAGCTTTCTTAAAAGTAACTGCATCCTTGTAAACAAGCCTTTTACTTATATCTTCTTTATAAAACAAGAACGATGCAAAAAATAGTCTCCAGGAAAAGCAAGGTTGAATGAATATAATTTCAGAGAGGTGGTAACAAGTCTTAAGAATGACAGTATTTCCCTGAAGTCTTGTTCAAAGACAGAATGTAAATTAAGAGACTCTCCCAATAAAAGTTCATACAAATTATTTACCTCTACTTGGGAAGAAACAAAGAAGGTGACTTAAAAGCTTTGAAACAACTTTTAAATAGTCTGTTTAAGGGGGAGTTTTGGCATGGGAGAAGGCAACAGCTCCATTAGAGAATCAAAAATATCAAGATTGTGAGAACTTCTGTTTGGCATTATTCCCAGAGCACAAAGCCACACACAAATAAATTCCTTACCATAGGCTTTATCCCAACCAGGGAGATTCTTTTCTCTCACTAGGATCTTTCCTTCAAATCTGGGTTTGACAAAATTCAAATGACTTCTTACTTTCATAAATGGTTTAAATTACATCATCAGTTTAAAACAAACAAAAGACTTTGTTTAAATTTATTTATCTTTTATCCATCACTATGATTAGCAAATTAGACCATTCCTACTGAAAGTCATTAGGAAAACACACATGTACCTTTCTCTCTCCCTTTTTTTCTCCCTTCTTTTTTTTCTTTTCAGTTGGCAGCATCTCTAATATGATTTTCAGTATTTAAAACTACAGTTTTTTTTGTTACTGTGAGTTAAGGTAAAATACAGGAAGGAGGAGGGTCCAATATAAGTGGCAGAACAAAGGGAGAGGGAAATCCAAATGAATTTCAGATGGCAGGAGCAGGAGTAGCTCTTGAATGTGCTTTTGACTTAATTTTTCATAGCATACCCTTTATAATTGTTTGTGTTTCAGCAATAAGTATGCAGAAAACAGAATAATTTTTCCACAAAATGCGGTCACAAAAGCAATGGAACAATTGCTGCGTCTCCATCTCTTCATCTTAGAACAAATACAAAAATCAGCAACAATTCTTTCCAAATAATATCATTCAAGAATACAATAATGAACTAACTGTACACCAATGTACTGGTTTTGGCTGGGATAGACTTCATTTTCTTCGTAGTAGCTGGTATGGTGCTATGTTTTAGATTTGTGATGAAAACAGTGTTGATAACATGGGGATGTTTTAGTTATTGCTGAACAGTGCTTGCACAGTGTTAAGGTGTTTTCTGCTTCTCACACTGCCCCACCAGCGAGTAGGCTGGGGGTGCTCAAGAAGTTGTGAGGGGACACAGCCGGGACAGCTGACTCCAACTGGCCAAAGGGATATCCCACACCATATGACATCATGCTCAGCAATAAAAGCTGGGGGAAGGAAAAAGGGGAAGGACATTCAGAGTGATGGCATTTGTCTTTCCAAGTAACCGTTACGCATGATGGAGCCCTGCTTTCCCGGAAATGGCTGAGCACCTGCCTGCCGATGGGAAGTAGCAAATTAATTCCTTACTTTGCTTTGCTTGCGTGCACGGCTTTTGCTTTACCTATTAAACTGTCTTTATCTCAACCCATGAGTTTTCTCACTTTTACCCTTCCAATTCTCTCCCCATCCCGCTAAGGGGGAGTGAGCGAGTGGGTGTGTGGGGCTGAGCTGCCAGCTGGGGTTAAACCACAACAACTGGCATTTCCGTGAAATTTTAAACTTGGTTATAAGGCTAGAGCTCATGGATGCCATTAAAATAAACCCAAACCCCAAGACTCAAGACTGTTAAGGATACTTGCCTCATCTATTTCCAATAAACAATTTTTCATATGAATATCTGTAGAACAAGATTTTTACATCAGTATTCCTTCAGATTACTGCTGCAAATCCATTTACTTTGGTCATTTCTAAGAGCTCTATTTTAAAAAAATAGTACTGAACATAAGCAGCTTGTTCTCACTTGCTAGGTCCTTTACAGCTTATCTCCTCCTTTCATTTCTCAATCAGTTGTGGAATGTTAAAAGATGATTTTTCCCTCAAATTGGTCTACAACTCAAACCTCTATCAAATATTAGCTTTACAAATAAGAACTACCATACTTTTTCTCATCCTTAGGCTATGCACAGGAGCATCCCCCCATAAACACTCATAAAAACCTTCTCAATTTTTTTCTTCAAATCTCTACAAAAACGTTGCTACAATCCCTACAGACACAAAACACAACACAATTGCTGCCTATCATGATGACCAATAGTGTCTCATTCTTTTCGTGCACCCTCAGCAAGTTTGCAGATGACACCAAGCTGAGTGGTGCGGTCGACACGCCAGAGGGACAGGATGCCATCCAGAGGGACCTGGACAAGCTCAAGGAGTGGGACCGTGTGAACTTCATGAGGTTTAACAAGGCCAAGTGCAAGGTCCTGCACCTGGGTCGGGGCAACCCCCGGTATCACTACAGGCTGAGGGATGAAGGGATTGAGAGCAGCCCTGCTGAGAAGGGCTTGGCAGTACTGGTGGATGAAAAGCTGGACAGGAGCCAGCAATGTG